CTTTTGCCTTTGTTTGATACAGAAAATGAAGAGTTCATTGTACTTTCAGTAAATTTTAAGGATAAGCAAGGTATTATTTGAAAACTTTACTGTTTTCTTTTGTGTAGAGGTCAACAAAAACTGTTTTATATATGAGTGCAAGGCTATTTGCTTTTACAGTATTTTTCCAGTGTAGCATCCATCCTATGCATCTTTTGTAAAAGCATGGAAACTTTAGCAAAAAAAAAAAAATTATTTATTGTACTCTTTATTTAAAATAAAAAAAGCTTTGTTCTATTTCTTTTAAGAACGAAGCTTTTTTATATGTGAAATATGAGGATGATAATTGGGAAAATATCAAATTTGGAGTCTCTCTGGAATTGAGGGATGAATGTGTCTACAGAAATTATTTTAAAGTGAATGTATTTATGTATATACAACTTCAGTTTTTAAGGTATTTTTTCATTGCTAAATTAATTCTGAGGGGGGTTCATTTAAAATTTAAAATTACTTGTGAATATCAATTAAATCATATTTGATTTTTGAAACAAACACAGATATAAAAATGTTGAACAGGATTTACTTTTAATGCCTAATCTATACTAAATATAGTTTACTTGTATAGATTGCTTTTATTCACAAAACACTTTCACAAACAGGAACTTTCTTGACAGAAAAATGATCTATTTTGATTTTTTTAAAATAATTTATTTTAACCTTTCTATTAATTATTATGGATTATTTATTCATAGACTCTCGGTCTTGGAATGAGCATTATATGTCTTCAATTATGAAGCCTGAATAATAAGCAACCCACTGTATCAGTTCTAGTATGTTGTCTGAGTCCCAAGTTCTGTCTAGAAACCTTGATAGGAAGTTCACTTGGTCAATTATTGGCTGATTACATTTTGTTTAGCTGTTAGGGTTTTTTGTTCATTTTGTTTTTCACTGACCACCTTATTTTATTTCTTTGTTATTATACAAACACTATTTTCCACTAAAGTCATTTGAATTAGTTAATATTGTGCCCTATATATATATATTTTTCCTTTCCAGGCTTAACATTCATGGTACCTTGATGCTCTGATCATCTGATATTATCTTCTTCAATACTGTCACCATCCTGATGAGCCAATTCCCATTAGATCCTTTCTTTTTCTTTTCCATATCAAATTAGGTGAATAAGTAGTCTGATTAGAGATTTAAAGTCGAATACTCTATGCGTATTCGCATAGTCTTGCTTACTACATTAGTTTTGCTTGGCAGATCCGTTATTACATCATTTACAGTGAAAATGTGTTATATTAAATATTGGGCTTTTTATGAAGGCGCTTTGTTACCTCTGCATTTGTTTTGTGAAATTAGCTCAGGGCCTCACGTTTATCTTACTAAATTCAAACTTGTTTGGGGCTATAGCACTTTGAATTCTAAGAGAGAGAATTCTCTTTCTGATTACTAGTTTTGGCATGCAATATCATTGCTATACTGCTTAATTTATCTCCTCCAGAAACTTAATGTATTCGGACATGTTGGCGTATTACATGCAAAATAAAAGAGATTATTGAATCTGAAGAGTTTTATGAATTTGATTCAAAAAATGTTTACACTATTGTCACCATTTTTATTGTCACCATTTATATCTCTACATGAACAACACGATAATTTATTGAGTATTTGTTTTCAATGTGAAGAGATGGTGGTCTCCAAAATGGCAATTAAAATTGTAGTGCACATCTACTGTAATTCATTGCAGTTTCAGAAATACTGAAATAAAGACTTCAAGAAGCTTTCACAGAGGAAATTATGCTGAATTAGATCTGACAGAGGAATATATTTAACTAGGCTATTGACAAGGCAGAAAACAGTCAAGTACATTAATTATTTTGATTTTATGTAAATTAAAATAAGAAGTCTAAAAAATTTAAAGCAAAGCGTGCCAAAATCAGATCTATATTTGATATAAACCTTTTCTGCATAGTTTAAAATTGAATAAAGAGACAAAGTAGATTTGTCAAAACTAAGTAAGACTATTGTTGATGGTTATAGAGTTGAAGAGTTGGATGGACTGGAGCGATTTCACAAGGTGAAATCTTTAAGATATGTGAAAAAATGACAGGGAGGTAAGAAGAGAGAAAAGTATCACTAAATTTCTAGCTATTGCAACCGGATTGCTGATGGTGTCATCCATAAAGTTGGCTAACTATGAAAGAAGACCAACTTTGAGAAAGGAGGAGGAGGTTGAAATTATGAATTTGTTTAGAATATGTTGATTTTGAGATACTTTAGAGCTGATGTGTTTTAAGAACCATAAAAAGATATACACCCTTTGACCGAGAAATCTAAGATTCTGGGAATGTAGCCCAAAATAGAGCAGCGTAAGATATGGGAAAAGTCATGGTGAAAATGTCCATTGCAGTATTCTTTACTAATGGAAAAAAAATAAAAGTGATGTTAATGTTCAAAAATACAGGAAGTATTTAACAAACTTTAAAAAACCTAGTAAGTGGAATCTAACTTAGCTGCTTAAATAAGTGTTTTAAAAATATTTAATGAGATATGAAGTACTAATTAAGTAACACTGCTTTAAAAATATAATTCAGTTAAAAATACAAAAACAAATGAAGATGAAATAAAACTGGAAAGATAAAAGAAATTGATAGAATGTTACAATTGCAGTTGTATGCATAACTTGTCTTTATTTAAGTATTAGTAACATGTTTATATTATCTTCTGTTTTAAAAATATACTGTGAGACCAGCAGATGGTGAACTGGCTACGTCGCTGGACTCCCATGTAGTTGACAGAGGTTTGAGTCCCAGACCATGTGGCTTAAACTCAAGCTGGACACGTGTGCGTGTCCAAGATCCCGAGAGGAGAATGAAGAAGAAGGGATTATGGAGTGCCCGTCATCCTGGGGCGGGGGGTAATTTCTCACATTCTGTTTCTCTGTCCCTCTCTATCTTTCTGGTGGGTGCATGCGCCCAAGTCTTATTTCACAACTATAGTTTGTTGGTTTGTTTTTAATTAAGATTTGCATTCTTTTTCCTGGGGTTAGAAATGTTTGAGACATATTTTCCCAGTTAGATACATAAGACAGTCTTCAAATCTTTATGATTTGCATTTTATGCCTTTAGGGAAGAGGGTATTCTACTTTGCATTTAGTTGTATTTGTCAGGGTTTTAATATTAAAAAAAATTTCTTTAGACACATTTGAATTAATTCTCTATGTTAGTATGTGTGATAAGGATGGAAATTTTATAAATCAAAAATGTCACTTTTAGAGTATTAAATTTTAAGAAAATTAAGTTTCTTTTTTGTATTTATGTTTGTTTTTAGATTTTTGTCATAGGACATGTGTGCTTGCCAGAGAGTGACAGAAAGTGGAAGAAAGTAAGAAATTACCCTCCCGGAGGGGATGAACATGAATCAATCCCTTCTCCTCCATTCTCCTCTCAGAATTTTGGGCGTGCGTGCATATGTACCTGATGGGATTTTCCAGCTACCAGGTCCCAGGAATCAAACTGTGGGGTCAGTCCTGTTGGATCCAGTGTTTAAACTGTTAATCCACCTGTAGGCCCATTTTATCATTTTAATGGATCAGTTCCAAGCCAAGAGAATTTTATTTTCAAATTTAGACACTTCATATTTTTAAATTGTAGAGATTTTGCTTTTAGAAAAAAAGAAAAACATGGACAATATCTTAAATTGGTCATTTTGCTTTGCTAAACAAGTATTTGAAATTTTAATTTCATTTTGTCTCTTAGTCTTACTAAACTAAATATTAACCTATTTTTACTCGCACATTTTACCAATAAGCTTGTTAGCACCAATAACATTGTTTCACTTTGTCTACAGATATGTCACTGTGGGCTTGAGGATTTTAAAAGTTGTTATTTGAAAAATGATTTATTTTCTATGCTTTGGAACAGATATTTTTAAATATGTTAGACAAGAATATTGAAGTTTTTCTACTCCAAATAGAGCATTCATTTTAAAAAATCTTGTATAAGCTAATAAGAGGAAAAAGAGAACCAGAAACAGGAAGACGAGGAAGGAGAACGAGACAGTGGTGATGAGAATACAATGAAATACAGCTACGTACTCTTGTCACACTGCATTCTACAAGTGCTGGTGGTGATCAAAATTATATTAACCATGAGAAGTCATAAAATATTGCATGCATGTTTTGGAATTTGCCCTCCTAACGGTTTAAAATCACTTGTGGATTGCTTCATTCAGGATATTCGTTTCTCCCGCCATAAAAAGCGTAAATTATAAGTAAAATTGTAAGAATGATTTAACTTTTATAATGATGTTCCTTTAAGCCAGGAAAAACAACCTAACCATAATATTTTCCAATTCTAGTTTTAATAATATACAGATATAAATATTCTGGGTTGATTCATTTATCTCCTTGGAACAGAGAGAGAACGAGACAAGCTCCCTCATGCCACCACCATCCTCCCAACCTCCCCAGACAGAATCACAGGCACATGTAAACACCCAGCAAGTACAAGTGGACTTGGGAACAGAACCGTGATCTTCTGCATACCTTCCAGAACTGCAGAACAACACTCTACTGCTGTGCCACTGCAGCTGGGCCTCAATAAAATATATTAAATGCCGTTGCTGTTTTTTTGCACAATATTTTGGTTATTATAATGTACACACATATGAATATTAAGGCTGACCAAGAGATTAAATACTCAATTAAGAAAGCCTATATCTGACAGCTCCCAAAGCAAATAAAGTTAGGTTTACACATTGGCTTGGCTCCCTTTTTATTATATGACTCCATTCTTATAGGTCTACTAATTTTGTAAAATTGGGGTTGATATGTCTCAGCAATCTCCTCTCAGTATAGTTAACAAATCCAATATAAAGTCAACTACTTCAAAACATTCGATTTATTTTGAACACATAAACCACCCATATTTTATCCATCCATACATAAATATCCGTGTGATACAACCCTCATCAAAAACAATCGATAACATTTTAAAATATCCTTATGTACTTACTTGAAATAAAAGAATATGCCAAGTGAGATAAGCAGCGATGCAATAGATAATCCATGTCCAATTATAGTCAGGTAAAACAAGTTCAGTGCAGTCTGTAATTTGTGTTAATAAAAAAATGGGGCTTATATTAATATCATATAATCACATGTGTAGAAATTCAAATTCAGGCAAATATATTCTATTTTTAGAAACATGTGCTCTTGCAGCCAGGTGGTTTGGTGGTTAAGCATTGGATCCCCATATGGAAAACTGCGGTTCCATACCCTGACCAGGTGGCTTGCTTTCTCACTTTCCTTCTCTCTCTCTCTCTTTCTCTCTTCTTGTCTCTCTCCAGTGAGCACATGTGTCCCATAGTAAGTTTTAAAATATCATAATAAATATAATTAAATAATTATTTTTAAAAAATTGTGTTCTGATAGCCTTATAATGAATAATTTACAAACCAATAATACTTCAATGTATCTGGAATAAAGTATATTTATGCAAATGTATCAAGTGATTTATCAAAATATAAAAAATGTATATACTTTTTAAGAAATTAGAAATCAAATATTAAATACATAAAGTAGAAATTTTATTGCTATAGGTCTCATAATTAGTATTTTATCATTTGTGTTCTTTAAATCACATACTACTTAATGATTTATTGCATTTAGACTTAAATGTCAGATAAATCATTTTTTCCTGTTTGGGGTGCTCTTTTTCCTTTGTCAATTTTCAGGCTTAGAGATAAATCTCAATGTCTTAGAAGATCATATGAGTCATAAAATAATGTTCTAAATCTCTACTGGTTTTGCCTTTTTCTCTTTTATTTTTGGCTGTATTGTATTTATTTCTATTTATTTGGATAGCTTGCTGTGTATTTTTACAACCTCTTCAACCCTATCTCTGAAGAATCAGGGAAAATTTGATTTTTAATTATAATGTTAACTGGCAATTACCAAATGCATACTCTGAGGGGTCTTCAAAAAGTACACAGAAAAATGTGCATTGTCCAAAAACTAAACATGGATTTCACAATATTTTGTACCAAGATAAATGTATACTTTAATTCCATTTTTTCATGAACTTTTAAAATTATCCTTATATATACTAGTCTTTGAAATATTTTTCTTGTATTAAAGCAATCCTTATGAAAATCAAGATGGTGAAATTTATTATTATTCCCTTTTTATACATAAGGGGACTGGAGCAGAGAGACTTAAAATGGCTTATCCAAGTTCATACAGCTGGAAAAGGGCAGAGACAGGAAGTCAGATGTCAGGACTCAGTTTAAGTCACTGTGAAAAACCACCTCTGTTTACACATATGTGAATATATCCAGGCATCTTCTATCAAAGCTCCATTATTGTGACAAACTGTGATTAACCTTGACTTTAATGTGTGGTGTTAAAAGGAGCAAAGGGAAAGAGAGTGACCTCTCAGCTAGTCAGAATCAAAGCCTTACGCTGGGGACAGAAAGGACTATCTAAAGCCTGCTGGGCTTTTCCTGGACTTGAGCACAATTTCTGAGATAGTTCTAGAAACTCGGCCACAAATGAAAGTTTTCCCTTTTCTTACACTTCTATTAAGGTATGTTTTCTTTGGAAGATGTGAAACTCCAACCCAGAGACATTGACTTGTAAATACTCTATTACCTAACAGTATTGCTTCCTCAGTGTAATGCCAGAATTAATCAGAATTAATCATTCTTTCCACATTTTTCTTTATTCTTAATCTCAAATTATATTATTAAAACATTTTACAATGGAACAAAATGCTGACTATTTAATTCTGTGTCAGACAGCTAACCATTTGAATTTTAACTCACACTTCCTACGTACCTGCACTTTCTTGTGGGTGTTGATATTACACTGGGTATAATTTGTCCACGTTCTATTGCTGTCTGGATGTCTAAACCAGTTTCCATCTTGGTCACAGATCTTTGTAACTTTTTCTTTAAAATTAAAAATGAAAAACATAGTTTTATTAGTCTAGTTTATTAAAGAGATGGCGATAATATTTGAAATCAATTTCTGCTTTTACCTGAAGGATCGAAGTCCTGAAAGTAATCAGGGCAGAGTTGCATTGATTCAGTTCCTGCCGCAACATCATTCCAGCATAGCCATCCATCCCAAGTTCTATTGCAATAAACACCTTAAAGGGAGAATAAAAATTAGAAACTGTCTCTAGTTTCCCATGAAGACATAAAATCTTAAGAGTAGTTTCACACTGACATGGAATAAAGGCTGTCTAATGAAAATGAAGATGCCATAAAATCTATGGCAATTAACTTGACTTTTTCACAAAGTAATTATTTTTTAGGGCTGAGTTCCTTCATGGGGGGTGCTCCTGAATGAGGGAGTGTCCTTAACAGGATCTTCACATTTGAATCCTCAAGCTCTGCAGCCAGCTAGGATCTCAGACAAACACTCAGAGTCTTGCCACATGGTCTCCAGGATTGGACAACAGTACCCTACTACTTGAACCACCACAGCTGGGTCTCTGCCAACTAATTATTAAAATAACAATTTCTAAATTAAATTTAGAATTTTGTAAATATATATAGCTTAGATTTAGACAATTAAAGTGGTCTTTGTTGACTGTCCTTAACCATAGTGGTTTTTGTTTTTGTTTTTGGAGAGGTTTTTGCTATAGGATGCGTGTGCGTGCCAGAAAGACAGAGAGAGACAGAGAGACAGAAAGCGAGAAATCACCCCCCCCCGGGGGGGGATGGCCACACCACAATCCCTTTTCCTCCATTCTCCTTTCGGGATCCGGGGAACACACGCACACGTCTGGTGTGAGTTTTAAGCCACTGGGTCCAGGACTTGAACCGCAGTCGACTACATGGGAGTCCAACGACATAGTCATTACACTACTGCTGGTCCCAACCATAGTGTTTTTACAATATATATTTTTTAATTGCCAGAGGGTATGTGTGCTGGCCAGAAAGATATAGAGAAAGAGGGAGAGAAAGACTCCCCCAAACAATGGTCATACCATAATCCATTCTCCTCCATTTCTCCATCCTGTTGGGATTTGGGGGACATGCAAACAAATGTACCCAAAATGTTTTTCAGCTTCCTCACATTCTTGTTAAACATAAAGAGAAAGAACCTCTTACATTAACCATATAAAGTTTTTTTTAAAGGATGGAGAAATTAACAAATACTCCCATGTGATAACTGTCTGTAGACAAAAATGTAATGTCCTACCTTTATATATACAGATAGAACACTGCATGCTACATAGGATATTTATTATTTAAAATTAATGTAAATAGTAGTCTTGGAAGTAACTTAGTCCTCATGAAAGTACAAAAGAATTCTGATGGCCTGTAAGTTTAAATAGCTCTGATTAACCTACACCAAAAACACTTCACATCATCTTGGTCTCCTTTTAGTTTTAAAATAATGACATAAATATTTTTCATTCATATATTCCAAGATAAAATATATTTTGAGAGTTCTCAGTGAAATTTTTCTTGATAGAGTTTTAGCATTTCAAACATGTCCATACTGCTGCTACAAGTAGTGTATTACACTGGCAGCATGATAGAGTTCAATATCATGATTTTTCAAATTGTGTTTTATGACATTTAGCTAAACTATGAAAAGGTACTCCATTTAAAAAATACTTATGGTAAAATAGACTTTAGAAACACAGGGATAAAATCAAGATAATTTTCTATGGCAAGACTTGCTAGAGTATTTAAAATTAAGACACACATCAAAAAGCCCCAACATGCATTGTGCATTGATCTTGAACTTATTTTATCACAGAATTATTTTACTAGAAACATAAAGATATGCCTAATGGTCAAGAACTAAATTTAAAACCTATTTTACACACAAGCAACACACACACAAATAATATGGAAAAGGTTGAATCAATAGTTTTAAAATAATGACACTTAAATTATAAAATAAAATGAGAAGCTGGACTAGTTAACAAGGCTATCTATATAAGTAATTTAATTACTTGATAATTAAACCTATGTCAGATAATTTATTATTGTCAAACATATTTGAAAACATTTTTAAACTGGATAATGTAGTAAAAATAACAGGGCAGATAAAAAGCCTAAATATTTTCTAAAAATTAATAAATTATACTGTTCTGCTTAATTATCAGACTAAAAGTTGTTCAGTGTAGAAAAAAAACACATCTTACTCTTTTTACAAACAAGTTCACTTCAAAATTTATAAATGTTAATATTCCACTTTTAATATTTTACTTATATACAAACATTAAATATCACACTACCAAAAGTTTCCCTCAATTCTAAGATCTTTGTTTCTCTGATGGTTGAAAAATTAGAGATTGCTGAAGTCTTTACATTTCTCTTTGTTTCACCTTGAGTTTTGCATTTTATATTTTGAAGCTAAACCTTTTAAGGGTTGCCAGGGAAAACAATATGACCTGGTTTTGGTTTTGTAAAATAACAACTCTAACTATACGACTTATCTGTTTTTTGTTTTGTCTTGTTTTGTTCTAGGTTTTTGCCATAGGGTGCATGCTTTTGTTGGAGACAGAAAAAGAGAGAGGAAAAGTGAGAAACCACCCTCTATGGGGGATGGCCATGCTGCAATCCCTTCTCTTCCACTCTTCTCTCGAGATTTTGGACATGTACACGCACACGCCCAGAGTGATTTCCAAGTCACCGGATCCAGAACTAGGACCAAGGTCAGCCATGTGGGAGTCCAGTGCTTAACCACCCATCACTGCTTGTACTACTTATCTTTCTATCTTCAGAATCTAGGCAAATGTCTAACATGTAGTAAGCCTTCAAACAATATTTTAAAATAATCTAAAGAATACTTAATGGAAACAGTACTTATATTTCACTAGCTTTGCCACTAAGATACTATGCAAAGCTTGTGTATTTTGAAAAAAAAAACCTTCCTTTATATTCATAATTTTATTATGCAAATTTATATTTAAAAAGGTTGTGATAATGCAAGTAACATGAACTTGAGTCAGCTGTCACTGATTTAACTAAAGACTAGTGTCTGTGTTAGTATTAATACTTATATCTTAAATATCTTTATACCATAAAAATGGTACTAATAGATCACTGTGTCACATATTTTTATTAGGTTTTATTACAAAGCAGCAGGATAAATCATGTCATAAAATGTTCTGATAAGTAAATAATTAAAATTACACAAATAGCTGAAAAATCAGTAACAAATCCTTTTTTAATAATGAGCCCAAGAAACTCACAGAGACATTTTGGGATCATTTTCCTCTAAAAATATGTCAAATGCATTTAAAATTAAGTTATTTTACCTTCTGCTTGTTGAATAGGGTCTTGCATAATTTTTTGGTAACATTCATACTGAGCAGTCATGATTTTGTTTCTAGTAACCCCCAACTGAATTAAGTCATCAGGGCTCTCTTCTGATTCTGCTGTGACAAGAACCTAAGGGATTAAAATAATAACAACTTCAGATTGTGAAATTGTCTTCGTTGAGGCAGTCTTTCTTCACAGTGGAAAACAGCAAGTGCAGTGATATACTAGATGGTAAATTGGCTCTCCAGGATAAAATCCCTGATTTATAGTGTTTGTTGATTTCCGTGGTATAAACATTCCCACCATGCCCAGTCTCAAGCTACCAAGACGTCACCAATGGCAGAGTTGAGAGGCATAGTTGGCTCTTGGAAACCTATGGTAGCTGGCTCAGGATATTACTAAACATGTGTTCTAGAATTTACCCAGAGTTGCATGTGTTCAAAATTCATCTCACTTCTTTGACCATCTCTGTGAATGTAGGCCAGATATTTACCCTCCCACCCACACAAACACAAACACCTCTGACTTCCTGTTATAAAATAGTATAAAATAACAACAAGATAACAGAGGGGATGTTTCTGCCATGTGGAAAATACTTAACATGTTTTGCTACTGTTGTCAAGATATTTTAATAAAATAATGGAACTTATGATATTAGCAAATAGAATTTTATTGAATATGTTTATGTTCTTCTAGTTTACTAGCACCATTTAAGTTTCATTTCTACTTTAATTTCTTTATGACTTTTCCCCTGATGTATAATATGAAACCTGAATAAATCTCTCTTCAACCTACCATTTGCCCTCCATATCTAAAATTCTACATTTGAGGATTTAACCTACTATGGATTGAAATATTACAGTGTTACTGATATGACTACATATTGGGTTGTCAGAAAAGTCATGACACATTTTTTTTTCATAGAAAAATAGAAAAATACTTCATGACTTTTCCAATAACCCAATAGTTAGGTTATTGGAAATGACTATACTAAACATATACAAGCATTTTTTTTCTTATCTTTATTCCCGAAGCAATAGAATATAACAAGAATTTACATAGTATTTAAACTGTACACAGGAGTTGTGTGTGTAGGTTATATGCAAGTAGTATTTTATTTAGGGAACTTGAGCATCTGCAGATTTTGGTATCCATGAGGGTCGTAGAATAAATCCCCTGTAGATATCATGAGACCATTGTATTTCTCTTAATTTTTAACATTATTTCTACTCTCTCCCATAAGCAGTTGTTTTATTCTTCTTTTTAATTTCCCAATTCTTTAATTTATTTATAATTTGCCAGAGGTATGTGTGTTTGCTAGAGACACAGAGAGAAGGAAAATGAGAAACCACCCCTTAAGGGTATAATCACTCTGCAATCCCTTCTCCTCCATTTCTCCTTTTGGAAATTTTGGCCATGCATGTCCAAGAACCTGGTGTGTTTTTCAGGCTGCCTGACTCAAACTGTGCAATCCACCTTGTGGTATCCAGCTGCCTTAACCACCATGCCACCAGCTGCCCCTTCCCTAATCGTTTATTTTCTCTTCTTTAACTAGAAGTTAAAAATCTTAAGACTTCCTCACTGCATGGTAACATTCAAGTTTCACCATCACTTACCCATCATTTAATGTGAACTTTCACTCTGTGGTTAGTTTTAATTTCCTAACAAAGATATTTGCAGTGGTTGTGCTGTATGAGTAATAAATGGAAATTTAGAACATCAAGACAATTTTATTTTTAAAGCCACATAATTTCTGTTCTGAAGTTTAGAGAATTGCATAAATCAGTATAATTTTTCTTTCTACTTGAAGTAATGGCTCAAATGTATGCATTGTCTGTGCGTGAATCCAAGAGAAAGGATCACAATTCCTTAAACTGCAATAATCAGGTGCTAACCTGTTGCATAATTACCTGCAGGGAACCAAGGTTGGCCTGCACAGCTCACTGGCATGCTCTGTGGAGAGTGTGAGCTGTAGAAAAAGGAATCCTGTTTCTTGAATTTGAGTCAATGTGCCTGATAACATCTAAGAAGTGAAAGATTTGGAGTGCTCCTAGAATGGAGGATGTTTTTAAATACTAGTGCTCACAGGAATGTACTCTGGGAGTTTTATTTTTGTTGTTGTTTAGGTATTCTGTAGTTCTTCTGAATTTCTTTGTTTAAATCCTTGTGGGGTTTACTTGGAAACACTACAGGAAAATTCTTTGCAGACACAGAATTAGATGAGATTAGGTCTCAGTAGCTCATACATACAATGGTAGGAGAGCACAGTCACTGTTTTGAGGCAAGGGAAAATATAAAAAAAGCATCTCTATAAACAGAAAATACAATTAAATATATGAAGCGTATGGCCCCTCTAACAGAGCAGTTGATTTTTGGTCATCTTTCGACCTTCCACCTGCTGCACCATATCCTTAGTATGTACATACAGAGGCCTATATGTCTTAGTACATTTAAATACACACCTGTCAAAAACATAACATCAATTCTTGCCTATTTGAACAAATACATGAAGAAAAATTAAATGTAAAGAGGACATGGTTCCAAATTGTCTTTTAATAAATATATACAGTCAATTGACAGATGAGGAGAAAAACCTGTGGGTTAAAATCTGCTTTTTTAACAGATCTAATTCAGAAACAACAAGTCTGATTGAAATATTTTACCTACTGTGTGCTACTGTATTGTAGTCATTTCTTATTTGTTATTGTACTCTCCAAACTCAGGTAATTATTTTGCTCTGATGTTTCCACAATTTTATCCATTCATCTTTCCCACTCTGACACCCCACTGCTTTATCATTCTATACCTGTTACAGGACTGAAAACATTCTCAAAGGAAATTAATTGTTACTATGTTGATTTGATATGGAAATGTAATTAACTTATGCATCTAAAAACCACCTTACTTTTTATTATTAACCTTTATCAATTATAGGTATATTAGAAGTAAAGCAAATAATACTCAATGATAGAAAGATAAATCAAAGGAATTTATGCTTACCATAAAAAAAGACAAGAGAAATAGAAAATACAGGATACACGTTTTCTCCATCATTAAAGCCAAATGAAATATAATATAAATCAAACTGCAATAGAAAATGAAAAACTATAATTCACAAATACTTAGGAAATAAGCATAGACAAATCTCAACAGAAATTTATTTTAAAACTATACAATAATCTTACGTGAAGGATTGGATAGTCTTCTGTGTTACAATGTGTAAAATCATCATGGCTTAAAGTACTAAACAGCTCAATTAAAAAGATATTCAATTTAATTACACTAAACAGGAAAGTTTCTTACACATATATATTTTTTTCTTATTTTTTTTTTTATTTTTTGGAGAGGTTTTCGCTATAGGGCACGTGCGCTCACCAGACAGACAGAGACATAGAGACAGAAAGCGAGAAATCACCCCCCAGGGGTGATGGCCATGCCGCAATCCCTTCTCCTCCATTCTCCTCTTGGGATCTTGGGCACACACGCACACGCGCCCGGCGTGAGTTCTAAGCCACCGGGTCCGGGACGTGAACCGCGGTTGACTACATGGGAGTCCAGTGACATAGCCATTAAGCTAACTGCTGGTTCCCCTTACACATATATTTTTAAGTAATTACAAAATATCTGCTTTTTTTCCTATACTAAAATTGAGATAAAATGATTAAAGTATCAAAATGATACATGAACAGAATAAAAGTTTTGATAGCATATTATATTATAAAGATAACCTCTATTGTTTATAAATGCCAATGATGTCATTTTTAATTTTCTGAATCTTAGTACTTTAATGGGGAAATCTGTTCTCTGGTCAACTTGTTGAGAGTCAGTACCCATACATAATACAAATGTGCTTATAATTTGATATTACTTATTATTATCTATGGACAAATAAACAACTCTTTCGTTAATCAGAAAATTTTAAAAGTCCCTAAGCTATTTGCAGTACTTAAATAAGTTTACAAAGGATAAACAATATCTTATAAAAGTATTTCTGTTAAAATATTTTTAATGATAGACATTACTTTAAACTAATGAAAATGGCTTCTAAAATACTGCCTACCAGCTCTTTAATTCTAAGAAACAAACATTGCTGGGGCATACTTCCTAAAGATTAGGCCCCATAAAGTCCAGCAATAACATTTTCTGACATATTGTTTTATTTTATTTTATTTTTGGAGAGGTTTTTGCCTTAGGGCACGTGCTTGCCAGAAAGATAGAGAGAGACTGAGAGAAAGCGAGAAATCATTCCCCAAAGGGGATGGGCACACTGCAATCCCTTTTTCACCACTCAGGATCTTGGGCACAAACGCACATGTGCCTGGAGTGAGTTTAAGCCACCGGATCCTGGACTCAAACTGCAGTTGACTACATGGGAGTCCAACAACATAGCCATTATGCTAACTGCTAGTTCCCTGATATATTATTCTTCTTATGAGCTATGAATTATCATGGTATAGCAATAAATATAACATTACTCAATATGTAAAAAATACTTCTCGAAAAAAGGCAAAAACATCCACTTAATAAATAATTGCCAGTGAACTATGAACTTAGATTTATTTCTCTTAAGAAACTAGCCATGGCTTTTATTACAGAGCTAATCTCAAAGTAAGAATTTGACAAACTTTTTCCATACGTTTGCATGTTTTACTTGTTATTTTTATCGCACACAATGAGAGCACACTATTAATTAGCATATTAATGCTATGTCATTGATTGCCCCCACCAAAGACTCACCTAAAAGCAATCTTTCTTTTCAATTTTAGCAATCTTCAGAATATTGTTTCTCTTCTATCTGCTAACCTGGATATTTTTAGGTGATCTTTAAAAAAATATAACCAAAAGATCAGAAAGCATTGTGTTAATTTTTAGGTGATCTTAAGAAAAATATAACCAAGAAATCAGGAAGCATTATATTAATTTTAAATATTAAAAAAAAAGTGTTGTATTAGACAGAAAACAACGAATTAAAGTTTCTGCAATTCAGTAGTTAATGAGTTGATATTTTAGTTTTTATTACATTTGACCACAAGAAAATCCAATTTTCCAATACTTACATGCACAACTGTCTCCAGACTCAAATCACATTTTCTCTTGGAAGCAATCTTTCTTTTCAATTTTAGCAATCTTCAGAATATTGTTTCTCTTCTATCTGCTAACCTGGATATTTTTAGGTGATCTTTAAAAAAATATAACCAAAAGATCAGAAAGCATTGTGTTAATTTTTAGGTGATCTTAAGAAAAATATAACCAAGAAATCAGGAAGCATTATATTAATTTTAAATATTAAAAAAAAAAGTGTTGTATTAGACAGAAAACAACGAATTAAAGTTTCTGCAATTCAGTAGTTAATGAGTTGATATTTTAGTTTTTATTACATTTGACCACAAGAAAATCCAATTTTCCAATACTTACATGCACAACTGTCTCCAGACTCAAATCACATTTTCTCTTGGATCATATTTGACATAGTCTTGGGGAATTTCTTAAATCTAGGGGTCATGACCTGGAATATTAATATTGTAATAATTTAATGTTATATTTATGAGCTAAAGTTATTTATAAATTTATTATAAATAGAAAATTTCCAAGTAAATACTACAATAATTTTAATAAATTCTTACAATTTTTTAAAATCTTTTTTGTTTAGACTATAGTTACTATTATTAATATATTCATTCCATATAATATTTAAATGTAAACTATGGATATATACCAGCGCAGTTAGCCTAAATTGAATCTATTTTCTATGAGTAATGCTTTTGAATAAATGAAAATGTTGTTTTCCTGAGAAATAATACTGAATTTTATTTATTAAATTTTTCATAGAATTGCTAAGATGCCTTCCTCAGGAATTCACAATTTAGGAAAATATATCTACAAACTATATAATTCCACAATTATTCTAAATTATATTGCCTTTAAAAATTAAATTTTTTAAAACTTTATTTATTTTTAATTTTATTTGTTATCATTATTCTTCAGTTTTGATCAGAAAGGGAGAGTGAGAAAGCAAGCCACCAGGTCTAGAACTTGATCCATGGTTGACCATGTGGGAATCCAGGGCCTCAGCCATTACGCCACCTGCCAGCTGCTAGTTTTGCTTTTTAAACTTTTTTATTTTTATTTCTTTGCTGTAGGGTACATGTGTTTATCAGAAAAAGGGGAAGTGAACAATCAACCTTTGGGGGAGATGGCCACTCCACAATCCTCTCTCCTTCAATCTCCCCTTGGATCCCTGGGCATGCAGAACTAGAATTATACAAACAAACAAACAAACAAAAACTAACAAAAGACAAAGCAAGAAAGCAACCCCCAGGGGGGATGACCATGCTGAAATCTCTTCTCCATTTCTCCCTCCTCTTGGGATTAGGACATGCATGCACACATGCCAAGTATGATTTTTAAGCCACCAAGTCTGGGACTGGAACCATGTAGTTCACTGACATTCCAGCCCCACCACCACCCTGCGAGCACATGCCCTTGTGGAAAATTAAAAACAAACAGACACACACAAAAAAATGAGTTATGCATTAACATGAAATTAAGGTTTCTTTCTTTCTAGTTGCTTGCTCTTTATAATATACTTTCACATGATTTTTCTTTAATACATCTTTAATAATTACTAGTTTGGTTCTTAGTGTAAATGGAGCCAGATAGTAGCAAATTAGTGTGGAAGACTTGACTATTTCATCCCTAATATATATAAACTAATGCGGCAAATCCCATGTCTCCATAGTTAATATCTTTCTATTTAAAATTTAAAGGGCAATTACATTAGAAATGTTAAAAAAAAAAAATCCAAACCAGTTGAGTATAGTAACTTTTTTTTTCAGATACATTTATTTTACTACTTGGTTATAATTTTGTGACAGATAATTGTTTTCCATTAGAGAAACTTACATCAATTTTCATTTTTCCAGAATGGTTGTGACAGTGAACAATTTAACTAAATATTTCATTTAAGAAATTTCAGAGAGCTATAATATTTTTTAAAAATTTGTATTAAACTATGGTTTAATCTTCTGAAGTACTTTATTGAGTTATTTGTTAATATGTATTATTATTATTTTTATATAGTCATATCACATATTATATAGTTTCTCAAAGTCAGAAAACATATCTCATTTACCTTTTATCTTTTGTGACTGGCAGTTAGTAAACATATATTGTATACATGAATAAATAAATGAACAAAATAAATGAACCAATAATGTATTTTAGGATCTTAAAATCACAAACAAGAACACTGGTCATAATTCTTCATTTCTTTTATTAGAAAGTTTTATTTGATGTTTCAATCTGTACTGATTATGAAAATTGAGTGGCGGGAAGTCCTTTTAACAGCATGTCTGCTTTTTTATAAACTATAATTCTGAAAACTATTCAGGCTTCAAGTCGTGGTGATTTGGATGCTGAATAAACAGTAGTTTACTGCACTAAATTTGGAATGCATAAAAATTAAAGCAAACTTAAAACATTCATAGTTCATATTTAAAACACTCAGTTTTTATTTTTGTATAAATATGAAAATTAGAACATAAATAAATATTATAAATATCATTTTATTTAGAAATCAGGTTTTTCAAAATAGGACTTTGATGATTTACACATAAATCCAATTTAAATTACCTTTAATATGTACATGACTCAAAAAAATTGGAAGGAAAAGTACTTCAAAAAATGTTTAGAGGGACCAGCAGTTAGCATAATGGCTATGTCGCTGGACTCCCATGTAGTTGACCGGGGTTCGAGTCCCGGACCTGGTGGCTTAAAACTCATGCCAGGCACGTGTGCATGCATGCCCAAGATCCCGAGAGGAGAATGGAGGAGAAGGGATTGTGACGTGGCCATCCCCCCTGGGAGGTGATTTCTTGCTTTCTATCTCTCTGTGTCTCTCTGTCTGTCTGGCAAGTGCACGCTCCCTATAGCAAAAACCTCTGAAAAAAAAATGTTTAGAGTTTTTCCAAATGCAACATATTTCAAAAGCATTTCACCCAACACTACCAGTTATTATTATTAAGCTTATCTAGTAGACTTCAAAATCAGAGTTCCAAAATGTATCTCCTTACCTGTCATTAAATCATTCTGGCACCAATAATTTAAAACGATGTTATTCAACTCATAATATAATTATCTTTGAAAATAATTCCATTTTCATAGCTTTCCTTCCTTCCCCTATTGCAAGTCATCTAAAAAACATATTACTAGGAGCAAGTCGTATTATGCACTGTATAGCAAATACATTATAGCATTCTTAACCAAGGTGGCAGGGCGGCAAGTTTTGGTGGCAGTCATTTAAACATTTGTGGTAGACACCTGCACTCTCTATGAGATCTGGCAGTGCCCATTTTATTTAGTGATCCAATTCATTTGAGTCATCTACTCTAATAAGGACCTATCAAAGTTTCCCTGCCAGCAGACACATGTAGCAAGTGGTAGTTATGGATGAAACATCCCTTTCATGGAGAGTTAGTTCTGTAGGTCAAAAATAAATAGATCATGTCCTAGAATGTGGATAATGTCATTGCAAACATACCCACAGTTCAACTTAGATCGAGTCTTATATTGATAGATGCTGCAGTCTGAATGTATCCCCCAGAAATTCATGTGTTGAAATTTGTGAGCAATGGTTAGCAGTGCTGACAGGGTAGAAATGTAATCCTATTATGGTGTTGAAAAGTGTGATATTTGGCACATGACTGGAATTAGGTGAGGTCAACAGGGTGGGGTCGCCATGACTGATTCCTGGTAGCGTTATATGAAGAACAACACACGTGCTCTGTTCTTGCTTTGCCTCACCTATTATGATGCCCTAAGCCACTTCAGGTCTCTGTAGAGTCTTCACCAACAAGAAGACTCTCACCAGATGTGGCTCCTTGACCTTGGGGGTCATAAACAAAATAAACCCCAGTCCCATAAATCACCCAGATTCTGGTTATTAGCAACACAACAGACTAAAACAATAGATGTTGTAAGATTATTCTCAGAACAAGTATGTTTAATCGTAATCCTCTGTTCGGCTCATTGGACCTTTGCATACTGACTCTTGATTGGCTCATTCAGCAAGTAGGTCTCTCTTCTTCATCTTCTACACTTAATAAAAATCCATCTTTGTCCCACAGTTGCTATAGATTTTAATGAATTTGACATTAACTAATAAAATCTGTTATGTAAATCTTTTGAGTTTCTTGCAGATCTTGTTAAATTCTTTGCTAATACTGCAACTGCATGCTACCTCATGAAGCATAAAAGCTCTCAGTCAAATCTGAGTAAAGTAAACAATGAAAGAAGGTGATTACATCTATCAGTAGATTTTTTCAAGCATGTTTTGGTTTATTGAGTAAGAAAAGGATGTTAGTTGAGAATGCTTTGATTTATATTTTTAAATCAATTGTGAACACAATGGTACTTAGTAGTAGTTACTGTAATATTTTTCTAACCATTAAATATTTGAATGATTGTAGATGTACCATTTTATTTTTCTTTTTCAAGATTTAACAAAGTACATGATTTTGCTCTATTACTGGAAATGAGATAGTTTTTCCTCATGATACAAATAAAATTTTAAAGTGTCATTATTCCTATATATTCTCCAAGAGTCTTGTCCCCAAATGTTTCAACGTTAAAATAAGAAATGATTTATTTTATCACAGGAAGAACTTTGAGAAATGAAAAATGTCTTGAAACCTTACATGATATTGGAAATAGAGCTGTCTAATCACTCAGAGCTTTATGTAGCTTATTCTGGTTTCATTTCATACAATAGTTGTAGATCTATTGTACAAGAAAAATCTTCAGGGACCTACATTTCCAAGTCTTTAAATTTAGAGAAAGCAATCTTCTAGTTTACCGTATTGAAAAAAGGCATTTTATTCTAATTATAAACCAATGTGACTTAATCAATACTATCAATACTACCTTACCAGAACACATAATTCTGTATATACATATCAATGCCATCCAACCTACTTATCTTCTCAAATTTTTATTATTCATACACATACATTCCATGAATTTATTTTTTATTCAATATATCTTTTCACTTGTCACTTAATCCTAGTATTAAAGATATATATGTTCATTCCAAGATTAGAAAAAAAAGTAAATAACTTTAATCTTCCACGCCTTCATTTCCAAAATAGTTTGAATTTTTATAGCCCCTAAGTCATATTCTCTTTTCCACATAGTTATCTAGTCATTATAATTTTAAATAAAATGTATTTCCCACACAAGACTAATTTGCCATAATATCCTGAAACTTGAGAACAGAGATGGGCTGTGTTATCTCCACTCCATGGCTTCCTTTACTGACAGGTGTGTAAAAGAAGCTATCAATATATTTCTCCTGAATCAAAATAATGCACAAACACTGTTCTCCAATTCCAGTGTTCCTCACTATATGGCAAATGGAAACGTCCTTCTGGTATTGGACACAATCTGGAATCGACTGTATCACTGAGAAAAATGTCAACGTTCAAGAACCTTTTATCATCTCCTGTTTAT